GGTAGTCAGGTGACGGCTTTATGCTGGAACCCTTCTTCCTGAGAGCTTGGGTGGGGTAGTTCTGAACTTGTACTGCTAGTCGCTTTCTGTTTCTTTAGGCAACATCGACAGAGCAGTCAGGTGACTCAATAGAGGGAGTCCAACACTAGACCTTTGTGTCCTCTGCTATGGGTTCCCAGTGCTATATTTTGGAAACGTGTGTCTATCTGGAAATAAAGTTTCCACAAGATTTCAGCAGCCATATTTGAGCATGAATGTCCATCAAACAGCACAACCTGGGTCATTAGGGTGTTCTTCAGAGGAAGTGAAGATAGGAGCAGTGCCCTCTCATGGATGGGGGAGATAGGTGTTGAAGAGTACTCCAACCCTCACCTGGGGATAGACTAAGGATTGATATACTATGTGTAGAGAAATCCAGCTTTCCTTTAAACAGCCCACCTGCTCTGCGGCTCAGACTGGGGAGAGGATTTGAAGTTTCTGCTGTTGTTTCCTTCTAATGGGAAACTGAAAGTTTTTGGGTTAATAGTAAGAGAAACTGATGGTATGCTTAGGAAGTTGAGCGTCACAGGGACTTGGAGCTCACAGGAAGCACACTCAGGTTGCACATACGTGTGGAAAAAGAGAAGACTCATATCCAAAACCTGATAGTGATGAGCCGATTGTACTTGAGTTCAGTTTGGTGTGGGTTTGGTGAACTTTACTAAAGTTTGGATGTTGAATTTGAACTCCACTGAAGTAGAGCCATTTCTAGGCTAATAGTCAAGGGATTGTCAAACAAATGGCATGGGGGGCAGTGGTGTATTTAGGATTTGCGCTGCCCCAGGCAACACAAAAGTCGAACACCCCCCCCCCCAGATGGAGAAAGCATGACATCGACCAACACCAGACCCACTCCCGCGGAGGGAGCCTGACAGTGACCAACAACACCCCTGCCCCGCCCCCCCCCCACCCGAGAGAGCCTTCCATTAACACCCCCCCCGGCGAAAGAGAGAAAGACACTCACCTTCACAGCTCTGGGCCATGCCCAGGAACAACAGTCTGACTTTGCATACACCATCAATCAGCCCACAAGTCTCTCTGGGATTACCCATCTGGTCCCCATGCCGCATATGTTCCTTCTTCTGGGGAGCAGTGCTGCCCCCCTAAAAAATTCCACCCTAGGCAAATGCCTTGTTTGCCTTGTGGTAAATTCGCCCCTGATGGGGGGCAGGGTACTGCCCTTTGGGTCATGGTTAGGGGGAGGAAGTAAGACATACAGTTTAACTGATATTTTACATAATTTTATTTCTATAAAAACGTCTTTTACCAGTAAACCTGTATTACTCACAGGCAAAGCATGGTGGATTTTTTGACAAAAAATATTTAAATGTGCACAAATCTCACAAATAAAAAATTAATACACGTTGCACCCATGACAATGGACTAAAATAGCAGCATAGCAGAAGCTGTTTGCCTTCAAACTGTCTCTCTGATTCATAAAAAAACCCCAAAAACATGAACATAAAAGAGGAAAGGCTTTTTTTTTACAGAGCAGCTGAATGTAGACAGGTAAACGTAAAATATTTAATTTACCTGTGACTAAGAAATGTTTAAAATGTAGTTTGGAGGGGAGCAGCTATTTTATTAATGCTTAAAGTGAAACTTTAGATATGCATAATTCCTCTAAATAACACACCTAGGGGGTGTGCAGACCCTGCCTGTGCCGTACTACATCTGTACGATTTATATACAAGCTACTACAGTAAAAACATTTACAAAATTACTGGAATTGTGGACATGATTGGTGATGGATTTACATTGTGGGATATTTTTTTTTTTTTTGTAATAAAGGACATATTAAGGTGTGGTGTCCTTACTTTATTTGACTTTTACTTTACTTATTTATTTTACTTATTTTTAAAGGCGGCTTCCACATTTCAATAAGCCCCCCATTTACAGGCCTTCCATGATCACCAGGCTAGGGTTGGGGGTAAGAGGCCCTTGTTATTATCAACATGGGCATATTGGGAACAGCGGAACCCCCTACGGTTGGAGGAAGTGGACTATACACAGTGCCTTGAAAAAGTATTCATACCCATTGAAATTTTCCACATTTTGTCATTTTACAACCAAACACGTCAATGTATTTTATTGGGTTTTATGTGATAGACCAACACAAAGAGGCATATAGTTGTGAAGTGGAAGGAAAATGATAAATAGTTTAACATTTTTTACAAATAAATGTTGAAAAGTGTCGCGTGCATCCCCCTTAACCACTTGCGTGATGGGCAATTCCACCCTCATCCTGCCCAGGCCAATTTTCAGCTTTCAGCACTGTCATACTTTGAATGATAATTGCGCGGTCATGCAACATTGCACCCAAACAAAAATTTTATCATTTTTTTTAGACAGATAAAGCTTTATTTTGGTGGTATTTATTCACCTGGGTTTTAAAAGACCGAAAATGTTTAAGAAAAAAACGTTCTTAGTTTCTGTAATAAAATTCTGTAAATAAGTAATGTTTCTTCTTCACGATGGGCACTGATAGGCTGCACTGTTGGGCACTTATGAGGTGGCACTAATGAGGCTACACTGATATGTGACACCGTTGGATAGGAGGCTCTGATGGGCACTGATAGGTGACACTGATGGGTAATGATGAGGTGGCACTGTTGGGCACTGATGAGGCAGCACTGATGGGCACTAATGAGGAGGCACTGATGAGGCTGCACTGATATGCGACACCGATGGATAGGCGGCTCTGATGGGTAATGATGAGGTGGCACTGGTGAGGCAGCACTGATGGGCACTAATGAAGAGGCACTGATGAAGCTGCACTGATATGTGGCACCGATGGAAAGGCGGCACTGTTGGGCACTGAGAGGCAGCATTGATGGGCACTGATAGGTGGCACTGATGAGGAAGCACTGATAGGCATTACTCATGGGCATTGATAGGCAGCACTAATAGGCTGCACTGATCAGTGCCCTGATTATCTGTGTAGATTTCCCCTGTGTAGATTTCTGCTGTCAGCAGCAGGAAAGGACTGCTGATAACTGGAAAATCCTGTATTCAATGTGATCAGCTGTGACTGGACACATGGTAAAGGGCCACTGTGATTGGCCTGTGTCCAAAGGACACAGCGATCACAGAGCACGCCTGATGCATGCCACAGGGACAAGCGGGGGGTTGGGAAGGTATCAATAGACGCCCTCCCAGAACTGGATAACTGTGCTGTAACCATCATTCGGCTAAAGTGTGGTCAGCAAGAGGTCAAAGGAGGATTGTACAAAAAATGATTGGTTAAACCCACAGTAGGGTCAGTAGGGGGCCCCATGAGATGCCCCTGGTACCTTTTTCATAGGTTTTTTTTGAGTTTGGGCAAGGACACAGGGGCCCCATGATCCCCTATTGCCCGGGGGCCCCATGAGTTGTCAGTCCGCCCCTGGCAACAACTTCACACTATCCCCAACAATACAAAAATAAAGTACTCCTGTTTATACTCCTGTAAGGACCTGCTTACCAACCTGCTGGATTTTCTAAACAAGGGCCAATGGGCTGTTAGAAAAGCTTGGACTCCTTACTGGTTGCCATGTTTTTCTACCGATAAAAGGTTCCGTGCTTGAGAACAAAGTAGCTCAAAAAGGACTACGGCGGTTGTTGTGGGAGGGGACACAAATACGTCTGCAGGAAAAGCCTGCCGTGGCACAAAAGAAATCTTTAAATAGAAAAAAAAGAGTGTTGCAATATGAAAGTGATGGAATGAGGTTGCTAAAAAAAGAAAAAAAGGAGAAGATGGTGGAGGAGGCGGTATAGGTCACATAAAAGAAGGTTTCATAAAGCCGACTTTGCAAAAACAGAAAATTACAAGAAAGAGCAATCAAAGAGGTTGATAAAAAGCTCTTTTAACATGAATTTCTTTTCAAAACTGAAATTTTTTTTGTCTTTGTACGTCCTATAAATTTCCAACCCGGCTACTAATGTGACATGGCTGTAATTTAGTACTATAACCCAAGCAGGGGGAAGCAACAGGTTCTCTTTACCACTTGCCTACCAGTCACTTTTACCCCCTTCCTGCCCAGGCCAATTTTCAGCGTTCAGCACTGTCACACTTTGAGTGACAATTGTGCGCTCATGCAACACTGTACCCATATGAATTTTTACAATTTTTTTCATACTAATAGAACTTTCTTTTGGTGGTATTTGATCACCACTGGGTGTTTTATTTTTTTCTAAACAAACGAAAAAAGAAAATTTGGGGAAAACATTTTTTTTCTTAGTTTCTATTATAAAAGTTTGCAAACAGGTAATTTTTTTTTCTATGGTTGAACTGGATGGACTTTTGTCTTTTTTTCAGCCAGACTAAATATGTAACTATGTAATGGTGAGGCAGCACTGGTGGGCATTGATGAGGGGGCACTGATGAAGCTGCACTGATATGTGGCACTAATAGGTGGCAATGATAGGTACTGACAGGTGGTGCTGACAGGTGGCACTTACTGGGCACAGATTGCCAGCACTGCTGGGCACTGATTGACATTGGTAGGCAACACTGATGGGCACTTTTGGGGGTGCACTGATAATCAGTGCCCTGATTATCAGTGTAGATGTCTCTTTTCACAGTTGCCGGTTATCGGCAGTACGTTCCTCATGCTGTGACAGCCTGAGAAAAGTGCAACCATCGACAACCATCATTTATTTTTACTCACTTCCGAAAATCGTCAACTGTGTTTACATGGCGATCAGGTATGATTGAACAAAGCCGATCATGTGGTAAAAGGACACTGTGATTGGCCCTTCACCATGACATGTGATCAGCTGTATCCAAAGGACAAAGCGATCACAGAGAGCACCGAGTGCACACCGCAGGGACCGCGCAGGGGCACTGTTCTGGGAGGACCTCCTATGATGGATATAGGTAGCCGAATGATGGCAACAGCAAGTGGTTAATGCATCCAGCAACCTCTGGGAACATAATGAAGAAGCCGTGTGTAAGCTCTTGGTGGTGACTTGGAGCTTACACAGGGCAGAGGACTCCAGGAAGCAACAGAAGTCGTACCCTCCACTTTGCATTCAGACATAAGGACAGATACTGAGAATGACACCTGGCATACAGGACCAGAGAAGTGATAATGTGCAGAGTCCATCCATACAGAATAAGGACAGATACCAAGATGACACCCGGCATACAGGACAGGAGAAGTGATACTGTGCAGAGTCCATCCATACAGAATAAGGACAGATACCGAGATGACACCCCCGGCATACAGGACAGGAGAAGTGGGACTGTGCAGAGTCCATCCATACAGAATAAGGACAGATACTGAGAATGACACCCGGCATACAGGACAGGAGAAGTGGGACTGTGCAGAGTCCATCCATACAGAATAAGGACAGATACTGAGAATGACACCCGGCATACAGGACAGGAGAAGTGATACTGTGCAGAGTCCATTCATACAGAATAAGGACAGATACTGAGAATGACACCCGGCATACAGGACAGGAGAAGTGGGACTGTGCAGAGTCCATCCATACAGAATAAGGACAGATACCGAGATGACACCCGGCATACAGGACAGGAGAAGTGGGACTGTGCAGAGTCCATTCATACAGAATAAGGACAGATACTGAGAATGACACCCGGCATACAGGACAGGAGAAGTGGGACTGTGCAGAGTTCATACATACAGAATAAGGACAGATACTGAGAATGACACCCGGCATACAGGACAGGAGAAGTGTGACTGTGCAGAGTCCATCCATACAGAATAAGGACAGATACCGAGATGACACCCGGCATACAGGACAGGAGAAGTGGGACTGTGCAGAGTTCATACATACAGAATAAGGACAGATACTGAGAATGACACCCGGCATACAGGACAGGAGAAGTGGGACTGTGCAGAGTCCATTCATACAGAATAAGGACAGATACTGAGAATGACACCCGGCATACAGGACAGGAGAAGTGGGGGACTGTGCAGAGTCCATACATACAGAATAAGGACAGATACTGAGAATGACACCCATGAGATGCCCCTGGTTTGTTTTTCATAGGCTTTTTTGGGTGTGGTTTGAGTGTGGGCAAGGACACAGGGGCCCCATGTTTCCCTATTGTCCGGGGGCCCCATGAGTTTTCAGTCCGCCCATGGTCCATACATACAGAATAAGGACAGATACCGAGAATGACACCTGCCATACAGAATAAGAGAAACGGTTACCTGTGTCCTTTTTAGGATGTGCATTGTAACCTGCAGAACAGAAAAAATTGTGGGGAGGTGTCATTGGTTAGGTATTCTTGCAGTTTCAAGAATTGCCTTGTAGTGTTTAGCTCCACAACTGATGAATTCAGCTCCAGGTCGACCCACAACTGATTTCTATCTTCCTCCACCAATATCTTCACCTTCAACGGAATGAGCTTTGATTGATTACAGGGCAGTGAGAAGTTACCTAAAAGAGAGAAAAATGTGAGACCTGAGAGAATGTATTCCATCGTATGCACCAAAACCACCAAGACTGGGGTGATAGCCTCCTAAATGCGGAACTCCAAGTGAAACTGACAATTAGAGCGCCCCAGAAGGTCATCATAAGACTCCCAAGTCATTTATAGTTACATAGTTACATAGTTAGTCTGGCTGAAAAAAGACAAAAGTCCATCCAGTTCAACCATAAAAAAAAAAGTTATAATCCTACACCCACAATTGATCCAGAGGAAGGCAAAAAAACCAGCAAAGCATGATCCAATTTGCTTCTGCAGGGAAAACAAATTATTTCTGCTTCCCCGAGAGGCAATCGGATATTCCCTGGATAAACTTTACCTATAAATGTTATATCCAGTTATATTCTGTGTATCTGAGAAAGAATCCAGGACTTTCCTACAGCAATCCACTGAGCTGGCCACAACCAACTCTTGAGGGAGTCTATTCCACATTCTCAGCTCTTACTGTGAAGAAAATTTATTTTCCTCCAGATGTAAAGATCGCCCCTTGTCCTCTGTGATGACCTCAGGGTGAATGACTACACCGAGTTTCTCTATATGAACCACTGATGTATTTATACATGAAGATCATATCCCCCCTTATGTATTATAGATGGAGATCATATCCCCCCTTATGTATTATACATGGAGATCATACCCCCCCTTATGTATTATACATGGAGATCATATCCCCCCTTATGTATTATACATGGAGATCATATCCCCCTTATGTATTATACATGGAGATCATATCCCCCCTTATGTTATTATACATGGAGATCATATCCCCCTTATGTATTATACATGGTGATCATACCCCCCTTATGTATTATACATGGAGATCATATCCCCCCTTATGTATTATACATGGAGATCATATCCCCCTTATGTATTATTACATGGAGATCATATCCCCCTTATGTATTATACATGGAGATCATATCCCCCTTATGTATTATACATGGAGATCATATCCCCCTTATGTATTATACATGGAGATCATATCCCCCTTATGTTATTATACATGGAGATCATATCCCCCTTATGTATTATACATGGAGATCATATCCCCCCTTATGTATTATACATGGAGATCATATCCCCCTTATGTATTATGCATGGAGATCATATCCCCCTTATGTATTATACATGGAGATCATATCCCCCTTATGTATTATACATGGAGATCATATCCCCCCTTATGTATTATACATGGAGATCATATCCCCCTTATGTATTATACATGGAGATCATATCCCCCCTTATGTATTATACATGGAGATCATATCCCCCCTTATGTATTATGCATGGAGATCATACCCCCCTTATGTATTATACATGGTGATCATATCCCCCCTTATGTATTATACATGGAGATCACATCCCCCCTTATGTATTATACATGGAGATCATATCCCCCCCTTATGTATTATACATGGTGATCATATCCCCCTTATGTATTTATACATGGAGATCATATCCCCCCTTATGTATTATACATGGAGATCATATCCCCCCTTATGTATTATACATGGAGATCATATCCCCACCCCTTATGTATTATACATGGTGATCATATCTCCCCCTTATGTATTATACATGGGGAGTAAACCCCCTTATGTATTACACATGGTGATCATATCCCCCCTTATGTATTATACATGGAGATCATATCCCCCCTATGTATTATTATACATGGAGATCATATCCCCCCTTATGTATTATACCTGGAGATCATATCCCTCCTTATGTATTATACATGGAGATCATATCCCCCTTATGTATTATACATGGAGATCATATCCCCCCTTATGTATTATACATGGAGATCATATCCCCCCTTATGTATTCTACATGGAGATCATATCCCCCCTTATGTATTATACATGGTGATCATATCCCCCCTTATGTATTATACATGAAGATCATATCCCCCCTTATGTATTATACATGGAGATCATATCCCCCCCCTTATGTATTATACATGGAGATCATATCCCCACCCCTTATGTATTATACATGGTGATCATATCTCCCCCTTATGTATTATACATGGAGATCATATCCCCCCTTATGTATTATACATGGAGATCATATCCCCCCCTTATGTATTATACATGGAGATCATATCCCCCCTTATGTATTATACATGGAGATCATATCCCCCTTATGTATTATACATGGTGATCATTACCCCCCCTTATGTATTATACATGGAGATCATATCCCCCTTATGTATTATACATGGAGATCATATCCCCCCTTATGTATTATACATGGCGATCATATCCCCCCTTATGTATTATACATGGCGATCATATCCCCCCCTTATGTATTATACATGGAGATCATATCGCCCCTTATGTATTATACATGAAGATCATATCCCCCCTTATGTATTATACATGGTGATCATATCCCCCCTTATGTATTATACATGGTGATCATATCCCCCCTTATGTATTATACATGGAGATCATATCCCCCCCTTATGTATTATACATGGAGATCATATCCCCCCTTATGTATTATACATGGTGATCATATCCCCCCTTATGTATTATACATGGAGATCATATCCCCCCTTATGTATTATACATGGAGATCATATCCCCCCTTATGTAATATACATGGTGATCATATCCCCCTTATGTATTATACATGGAGATCATATCCCCCCTTATGTATTATACATGGAGATCATATCCCCCCCTTATGTATTATACATGGAGATCATATCCCCCTTATGTATTATACATGGAGATCATATCCCCCTTATGTATTATACATGGAGATCATATCCCCCCTTATGTATTCTACATGGAGATCATATCCCCCCTTATGTATTATACATGGTGATCATATCCCCCCTTATGTATTATACATGAAGATCATATCCCCCCCTTATGTATTATACATGGAGATCATATCCCCCACCCCTTATGTATTATACATGGAGATCATATCCCCACCCCTTATGTATTATACATGGTGATCATATCTCCCCCTTATGTATTATACATGGGGAGTAACCCCCTTATGTATTATACATGGAGATCATATCCCCCCTTATGTATTATACATGGAGATCATATCCCCCCTTATGTATTATACATGGAGATCATATTCCCCCTTATGTATTATACATGGTGATCATTACCCCCCCTTATGTATTATACATGGAGATCATATCCCCCTTATGTATTATACATGGAGATCATATCCCCCCTTATGTATTATACATGGCGATCATATCCCCCCCTTATGTATTATACATGGCGATCATATCCCCCCCTTATGTATTATACATGGAGATCATATCGCCCCTTATGTATTATACATGGAGATCATATCCCCCCTTATGTATTATACATGGAGATCATATCCCCCCTTATGTATTATACATGGAGATCATATCCCCCCCTTATGTATTATACATGGAGATCATATCCCCCCTTATGTATTATACATGGAGATCATATCCCCCCTTATGTATTATACATGGTGATCATATCCCCCCTTATGTATTATACATGGAGATCATATCCCCCCCTTATGTATTATACATGGAGATCATATCCCCCCTTATGTATTATACATGGAGATCATATCCCCCTTATGTATTATACATGGAGATCATATCCCCCCTTATGTATTATACATGGTGATCATATCCCCCTTATGTATTATACATGGAGATCATATCCCCCCTTATGTATTATACATGGTGATCATATCCCCCTTATGTATTATACATGGAGATCATATCCCCGCTTATGTATTATACATGGAGATCATATCCCCCCTTATGTATTATACATGGCGATCGTATCCCCCCTTATGTATTATACATGGCGATCATATCCCCCCTTATGTATTATACATGGAGATCGTATTCCCCCTTATGTATTATACATGGGGATCATATCCCCCTTATGTATTATACATGGAGATCATATCCCCCTTATGTATTATACATGGAGATCATATCCCCCCTTATGTATTATACATGGAGATCATATCCCCCTTATGTATTATACATGGAGATCATATCCCCCTTATGTATTATACACGGAGATCATATCCCCCCTTATGTATTATACATGGAGATCATATCCCCCTTATGTATTATACATGGAGATCATATCCCCCTTATGTATTATACATGGTGATCATATCCCCCCTTATGTATTTATACATGGAGATCATATCCCCCCTTATGTATTATACATGGAGATCATATCTCCCTTATGTATTATACATGGTGATCATATCCCCCTTATGTATTATACATGGAGATCATATCCCCCCTTATGTATTATACACGGAGATCATATCCCCCTTATGTATTATACATGGTGATCATATCCCCCTTATGTATTATACATGGAGATCTTATCCCTCCTTATGTATTATACATGGTGATCATATCCCCCCTTATGTATTATACATGGTGATCATATCCCCCCTTATCTATTATTTTTGTGAATTGGGACCCAAAACTGAACTGCATATTCCAGATGAGGTCTTACTAATGATTTGTATGGGGGGGGGGGGG